CTCCCGCCTGCCCCTGCCATGTCCCCCTTACTTGATGGAGCCATTGAGCTCCTTGATCTGCTCCCGCAGTTGCTGTGCCTCATCCTGCAGGGCCGCCCGCTCCTGCTGCAGCTTGCAGATGTACTCGGCTGTCTTCTGCAAGGTGGTGGCCTTGCTGACCTGTGAGGTCACAGGGTGCGAGGGGGCCCCTCAGGCTAGGCAGGGCATGGGGCACCCAGCACTTTGTACAGCGGCTGGCAGCGCGAGGTGCCATGAACCCCACTGCTGAGCGTGGCAGCTTCTGCCACAGGCTCCAGAGCCCAGACGGCCCTGGCACGGCCACACCATGAGAGTCTCCGTGTGCCTGGTGCAGGCTTGCAGCCTCCCCACGGGCTGGGGTGCAGGGCAGGACCTCATGCATGGGGCGGAGCAGGGGCGCAGCATCCCCAGGTGACACACCGCATGCTGGCGTGCCCAGGGTGCTCACCTTGATGCTGGGCTGGGCACTCAGCGTGCTCACCAGGCTGTGCAGCGTGTCAAAGCCCAGCTTGATGTTAAAGCGTCTCTTCTGCTCGGCAGAGATGTGTGTGATGCGGCGACTCTCCATCTGTGGACAGGCACTGTCAGGCACCTCCTGGCAGCAGGGGGGGGCCCTGGGCCACCTGCACCATCGGGGACGGGCTGGCCCCAAGCTCACAGTGAGGGGGGGGAATTTGAGGGGCAGCAGGAAAGGGTGGTGCAGATGGATGGAGATGGTGCCCTGGAGCGAAGGCAGCACTTGCTCCTGCCATACCTTGCTGGACTCAGGCCTGCCCTGACGGGACACAGGGTGGTGCAGGGAGATGCCAGCACCCAGCCTCACAGAAGGTGCCGGGGAAGCCTGGCTGGGCTTGGGCCAGTCACTGCCTGGAAGAGGAAAGGTAATGCTCTGGGGAGAGGGGCAGCAGCAGCCCCTCCTGACAGGCTGACGCCAGGGTCCTGCACTGCAGCAGGTGGAGAGGAGCAGCCCCGGGGCAGCCACCCTACTCAGCTGGCAGGGATGCTCCAGTCCAGCATCCAACCACATCTTATCGCTTTGTCGTATCCCAAATCCCACTCATTTTACAGCTGCTCAGAAATGGAAACACTCGGGGGGTGACATTTTAAATTCCTGGCATTTCCTGTGGTGGAAATCACCAGGAGAGAGTCACGAAGGCAGCAAAGCTGCAGTCTGTAGCACCAAACTGAAACTGGGAACGACACCAGAGCCTGGTTTTCAGCTGTCGCTCTGGTTTTGCGGGTGAAAGCAGGGTGCTTCCCACTTGAAAACCAGGCTTTGGGTTTTCAAAACCACAGTCCGACATTTTGCTCCTTTTTGTCTTTTACTGCTTCTGCTTTTGCCCCTGTAGAAGGAGGCAGGTGGAGGGGCCATGCCCTCCCCCACAGAAAGAAATCATCCGTGCCCAGCTGGGATGGAAGCCGAAATGGAACATTCCTGCAGTGTTTGGTCTGAGCTCCCTGCAGGAAGCACAGTGGAGCTCCTTGAGTGCCCCAGACTCACCGCAAGCCGAAGTGGGGGACAGCCGCTCTGCCTTGGGGACCAGCAGTACGCCTGGCTGGGTGCCCAGCGCCGGCACTAGACCTGGCACTGCTTGGGAATGGCTGGAGCCGGGAGCCAGCCCTGGGCTCAGCTGGGCCATTCTGGAGAGGAAAGCGGCAGGGACATCAGGGACGGTGCTCCGCTGTGGGGAAAAGGCAGAGGGAAGTGGGAGGTCGGGGGACCAGCGCCCAGTGCACGCCGGGGACCAGACCTGTCCCTTTGCTCAGCTGGTACCCAGGCACTGACAACCGAACACCCACGAGGGGACTGGGGAGGTGGACGTGCGGCCCCAGCCCCACGGGGCAGCCCCAGCCCTATCACCCCAGGGCAGCACCACCTCCGCTGTGGGGAAAAGGCAGAGGGAAGTGGGAGGTCGGGGGACCAGCGCCCAGTGCACGCCGGGGACCAGACCTGTCCCTTTGCTCAGCTGGTACCCAGGCACTGACAACCGAACACCCACGAGGGGACTGGGGAGGTGGACGTGCGGCCCCAGCCCCACGGGGCAGCCCCAGCCCTATCACCCCAGGGCAGCACCACCAGGGAAGGGGCCCTGCAGGTGGGGTGTTTCCCACCTCTGCCCTGTTCTGTTTACGGGAGAAAACACTCGGGTGACTCCTGCCACCCTGGCACCCCGTCCACACGCCCTGTGCCTGTCCAGCCCCATATGGCAGAAGGTGACCCCAGAGAGCCCATGTCCCCACCTGCCCCATCTCTACCCCTGCCCCAGCAGCCAGAAGGCACTTCCTAAACAGGGGGGGAGGCGGGTGCTTACCGGGGAGACGGGGGATGCGGGCACCAGTCCTGCACCCATCGGGCGTGGGGCATCCAGGGGCGGCTCCTGCTTAAAAAAAGGCAGGGAGCAGAGGGGTGCTGCTGCCTGAGGCTGTCGGAGCTTGGGTGACCTTTCCTGCCCCACGGGACCACCAGCCCCCAACATCAGCGTTGCTGCAGCCCCGTCCCTGCCCATCAGCACTGGGGAAGGGTGAAGCCCCTGGGGAGAGGTGCCTTTGCTCCCCACAGTGGGGACAGCCTTGGGAGCCTTGGTGCAGGCAGAGACCCCCAGCCCCTCCCCAGCCCAGCACGGGGCTGGATGCGACAACTTCTGTGGGACCTGTCCCATCACATGCACAGGCAGTGGGTTGGGCAGGACACTGGCGACCCCTCAGCCCATCCATGGAGGGCTGCGGAGACCAGGCTGGGGACACGGGCACTTTGCAGCGGTGCCCGTGGCCAAGCCCTGGGGCCGCCTGGGTCCCATCTCCCTCCCAGGGCTGCTGGAGCTGGCAGGGCTCCCTGGGTGCAGCTTCACTTCTGGTTTGGGTGCTGCTCCGCTGTGCAATCTGCCCAGCATCCCCAGAGCCCCAACCCCAGGCAGAAAGTGGTGTCTCCCTTCGGTCCCCCCATACTCCCCCAGCTCCCCCCCAAGTCCCCTGGCAGCCACAGCCCCTTACCTGTGGTCAGCAGCTGGCTCAGGCAGGGGTGG